AATTCATTAAAATTTTATCTTCTTCTTTGAAATGAAAAAACAAGTCATTTAAACTCCGTTTCAATAACGCTGTTTTCCTTCATTTGTTTGCTTTAAAAAATATATATATTGACATGTACAAAACCAAAAAATTAAATGCATGTATTTCACCAAGATGCATCTAAGTCCATGAAAAAATGAGGATAATAATAGTGCATTTTCTTAGTCTGATATCAGTGAAGAACATCCATTCAAATACTATGTCTAGGAGAAAGCCAGATGTAGTGCTCATGTAAAAATAATTCAAAGGAGAGTTCTGTTTGGACTGTGAAAATGACACATAAATTCTTTACGCACTGTCATACCAGGATTGAGTCAAAGCCAAACAAACATGTGATTCTTGCTTTGAATACTAGTTGATTGACTGATGGTATAAACCATTTAATGGGACTCACATTCAAAAGACTTCTGAAAGACTGTCCCATTTTAGCATTCTGAGATGTCAGTAACAGAACAAGTTCAAGAAGAGAGATTTAAACAAATGTTTCGGAAATAACATTGTCAATATTTACAAACTGTACTGCTAAAAAGCCTTTTTTTTTTGTAATGAGTTATTTAACAAATTCCTTAATCAGATACATATTCTAAAATACTCTGAGGTATATTTGTGAATAACAGAGCCTCAATTTCACCAAAATAAAAATTTTATATCATGTTAAATGATCTTATAATTTCTCTTTCTCTTAAGCATTTGGATGCACATAGATAATATTTAAATCTACAAACGTACAGAAGACATTATATATATAGTTATATATACAAATATAAACATAACTATGAGACATGCATAACACAAGGTAATAAATAAGATAGATAGATAGATAGATATGTATAAAAATATCTCACTTTCATTTTGACTGATCTGGATTTTGCAATAGTTTTGTCACATCCTACACTTTTTTCTGCTGTACTTCTTTTGATTTGTTTTTTATCAGTCTATTTAAGCTAAATAAAGATGACCCTAAGTGCAAACAACAACATTGACAGTAATTAGCATTTGTGAGACACCTGACATGTTTAAAGTATTGTGCCAGTATTTAATTACAAGTCCTCAAAACAATCCAAACCAGTAAGCATTTCCACCAGCAATGCTGCAGCACAAGGAAAAAAGTTTCCACAGGGGAGAAACCAAATCGTCACCAAAGCCCTACACACAGTCCTGGAAGCAGCACTAACTTTTAACAGTGGTATTTCTGTTCAGATAAAGCAGGAGAACACAACTGTGATTTCTAGCATTGTAATAATCTAGCAAGGTGTCACAATGTTTAAATGTACAATATTTAAAGTCTTAGAGTTATTACCAAATCTGTGGTAACACTGAAATTTTCTCTGTATACGAATATAGTCCAAGTAAGGTCACATCTCTGCGAAATCAGACATTTCACTTCGCTTTAATCATCTGTTACTGTGTCTAATCTAACTTAGTCACGCAACTCATCTTTAAATTCAACAGAGAGATGAGCAGCTCTGGAGAGTGATACATCTCACTAATCTTAAACACTCATTTTAGGATGAGAAATGGAATGGGATTCTGGGGATGGATAATTGAAAATAAACTTTAGCTGTCAGCGAGAATCACTGCACAGAGTTCCTGCAGAGCCAGGGCTGAGGGACAGATTTCTGTCAGACTCCATGGAAATTACAGGAATCGCCTAATGTACACTCCATTAGAGTGTATATTAGTTTTTCATGCATATAACTCAGAGACACAATTGATAAGACAAAAATGAAGATGTACTCACCAAAAACAATAGAGGACTCACAGTAGTAGTAACCATTTGGTTGCTTTTTTTTCAACATGGAGCAAAGATCAAAGCGGTGCAAGATTTCATTTCCAAAATAATGGCTTTTGAAATCTTCATACAGGTTGGAGTCAATTTTTTTCACCTTTAAAAAGCAACATAAAATTCAATTAGGCATTCTACTAAAAGGCTGAAATTTTGTAGTTGATTCTTATAGTTTTCATTTTAATCAGAATTATAGTTAGGATGGAAAAGTACTTCAAGATGCAAAAAGAATACAAAAACAACAATGTGCCAAATCTCCTGTTTCAGGTAAGCACTGTCTGTTGCAGAACTTAAACAATGAAATAAGAGTGTCATTATTCCTCCTTTCTATCACTTCTTCAGTCCTGTAGAAAACAAATAGACATACACAATGCTACAACTGCTTTAATTTCCAATAGTTTGCAACAGTGTTCACGGAACATGTCACTGGGAATTATTTTTCCTGTCATCACTGGGCATGCTACTACAAGGAAGCATCTCAAATGTATGTCAAGGGCAGTTTTCTTAGTCTTTAAAATCACCACACAGGAAAATGTGGTTGTATTTTACCAGCACTAGACTTTTTAAACTCAATAAATCTAAAAACTTACCATAATTTATAATATTGGAATCATGCAGTTTTGCATATATGAAGTATAACATATTAAATTTTCTATTAGGCTGTTTTCAGAAAACATAATTTCAGTAGTTATTTTAAGAGTTTAGGAGTGCGAATTCCTTTGCATCTTCAATTAAAATATATGATCTCTGTAGAAATTCGCTATTTTCTCCTTCAATCTACCTCACAATAACGCTGTTTGCTATTTAGGTATCATTACTATATGCTACGGGATGTTAGTAGGGATGGTACCTCCAGTATCTTCTGCCCAGGGCTCCCTACTGCCTGGCTGCTGGAGCCCAGTCCAGTGCCCCGGAGCCCCAGAGTCTTGATGGATGTACCTGCTGCTTTCACCTCTCAGAGATACGCACACATGCTCAAAGGACATAGACATGGCTGGCTACATGGAATGCCACTGCCCTCAACAGCACCCACATACAGGGCTCACAGGAGACACAGGTGCAGGTAGCCCCTGGCAGAGACAGAAGGTCACCATTGTAGGCACACACATGGCCCTCTCCAGGCTCACATGCACATTTGTGCATCCCCAAAGCACGACCATGGTCCCTCTGTCCACCTGGTACCCCTGCCCAAATCGCAGGCCTCTTACTGACCCCACAGGTCCCCCACTTGCTGTCTGGTCCAGCTTGAGGACAGCTCCTCACTCACACAGTTTGGGGAGGATACAGATATTTGCCTCCAGCAGTCAGCTGCTCAGCTCATCAGACAAGCATGCCCACCAGCCTTATTTTAAACAGACTGGCCTCTTTTGCAGCCAATTCTGTCCACTCCTCTTTTGTTCTTCCCCTGCACCTCTCACATCCCCCATCCATTTGCACAGTACAACCAAGCCCCCCTCCCAACATCTCAAGACCCTCAGCTTTACATTCCCAACAGCTGCAAAGTCCCAGTTTGCCTGTAGTTTCTTGACAGGCCCTTAGTTAGTATGACTGACAAGGTTTGCTTCTTGGATTTGTGTGTTAAGTTTAACAGGTTTGTGTCTCTGTATATTTTGCTTCTGTTTGCCTCCTTTCTCTTACCATCTCATTTGACAAGGTCCTCAATCCTACTGCAATGAACATCCCCACACTCCACATGTCTTTATTAGTCTGTGGGGCTGACCAGCTTTGGCTCTTGTTACTACTTCCCTTATCATTCGTTGGTCAGGTTTGGGTCTCTGTATGTGTTTCTTAGGGCCTCCTCCTTTTCTTATTATCCCCTTCTGCACTGAAAAGGTCCCTCCTCACCAGACACCCTGAAAGGAGCATACACTGTCTCCTTCCTCACTGTAACATTAAACTGTATGCATTTATCTGAGCATTACATTCATGCATTTCTTGTGGTGCTTCATTTAAAGTTACACATATGCAAGATAGGCTTAGAGTTGGTATGTCTACTGACCTTTTATTTAGGTACAAAATTACTGGCTTCAGAAGGACTTTGCTTCCATAAGTACCTGCACATCTGGTTCTCTGAAGTCTAATTTAGAGACTTTTGGTCCCCATAATTTTACTTTAGTGAAGGTCAGAAATGACTATTTCCTTAATCTCGGAAATTATGACATCTAGTGGTGGATGTTTTTCATTTCAGGAACATGATCTTGGAAGACTACATTCATTCCATCCTCACTATCACTATTTGAAATTTGATTTCTATGGCTAGATTAGTCCTTATGTACTAAACTTATTTTGAAATTAAATCATCATTCCTTGCTTTTTGGCTGACAGTTCTTTGAAATCCAGTCAGACATCAATTAGTAATAAAAAAAGACCTTTTCAGCCAGGAGAACACTTGTCAAAATATGAAGCCTTGAGTACTTCTGGAATGAAATGAGGAAAAGATAAAAATCACAACTTCACGCTCCAACAGAAAAATAACATTTACAAGAGGCAGGGATGTTGCTTGTCAAAGGCAGATTGGTAAGGTATGAATCAAATGTTGAATGCTCAGGAATTGAGTTGTGCTTGTGATGCACTACTGAAATGTATTTGGAAAAGCAGCCATGGCAAAACTATGATATTTTTAGTAACTGGAGCAATTGCTAGAGTGCTGCCTGTGTGATGTGAAAGGATGAAACAAAGCAGGTGGATGGGAAGGGCATGGCTCATTTCTTAACTGAAAGGGTCTGGAGCAGTAGAGATGAAAGAGAAAAGTTGTTACCACATGGGAATAGTATAGATGCTGATTACAGAGATAAACCATAATGAGGGGGGTGAGAAACAAGTGCTTGAGAGGCCATTTTGAAGCGTTTGGTGCTGGGAGGGCAGGAGAAAGACATCTGCCTCTTGAAGGAAGAACTGTAATGGATGGATGATGCCTGTAAAGGGACATGGCTGTGAAACGTGGGCCTAGAAAGGCATGGCATGAGGACCTCCCGCAGGCCTGGCAGCGCACCAGCGACACAGCCTTTGGTAGCCCTGCCATGTCTGTTAACTCTGCCTATGCCTCCCCTGTGTGCACACCACGAAGGTGCAGCCTGCTGTCCGCAGCCTACAGTGAAACCCCAGTTCCCGTGGCTGCTCTCAACAGGCAGTCTGAGCCAGGGGCTGGAACCAGGTGTGGGACCAGGGGCAGGAGGGCTCAAGCGGTGATGGACCTTAACACAGACGCAAGCAGCCTCGAGTCCCATGTACCAGACCGCGCACCCAGCACACTGCTGGGGTGCTTCCATCCAGCCGGGAGGCCGCCTGCAACTGAGGGTCCGTTCCCGCGGGCCCGGAGGGCTCTGCCGGGACAGGCCCGTCATGTGCGGCGGGGCGGCGGTGGGATGGCGGGATGGTGGGGCGGTGGGGCGGTGGCCCGGCTACGGGGGCGGGCCCGGCCATCCTGAGGGGGCGCGGCGGCGGGGGGAGCCTGAGCGCGGGGAGAGACAGAGGAAGGGGGTCAGGAGAACACTTCTGGCTACAAGGAGAGGCAGCAGCCCAGACGAGCTGCCCGCCTGTGGTGAGGAGGGTGAGTAGAGGGGGAAGAGGTGAGAGAGGGATGGAAGTGGGGTGGTGACAGGGGATTAATATGGCTGATCCCTTATGTACTTGTATAGAAACGTGCTGTGTGATAGTGCTACGTAAATACCGGGCTGGGACCCTGAAATGATGGCCAGGTTATGGGCTGCACTGCTGTGAGGAGCTGAGGTCAGCACATGCATGTCTCGCGTACCTCTGAGGGAGGATGATTCTGTACATGGATATATACATGCCCATGTACATGACTGTATTTATGGGTATTTGGGCATACATACATACTTTAAAAAAATAAAGAATACAAAGAAAAACTGTAAATCCAGCATTGCTGGTAGTTTGCTCTGTTATACCTTGCTTGGGAGCAGATGGCAGCTGTATCTTTTCAGATGCTGGCTGCATCTTTCCACTTGAACATTTATTGTTAATGACTGGTAGATTCTTAGTTTCTCCAGAGTTGGAAGAGTGAGTGTTAACCTCCTCTCGTCAATTACAATTGCTTCTCAGGACCTTTTGGATGAGTTGTAAATAAAAATATCTCTCTCCAACAGAATGAGTGCCACATCAGCCACAAGCCATGCCTTGCTACCACTGCTTGGGCCCGAACAAGAGGACCAAGAGGGCTCTGAGACACACATGTCTGTTTTGTGGTATGCAGGGCAGCTGGCAATTACTTATTATGATACAGAAGATTGCTCAGTCTACTTCATGCCTGAGATACCTGATAATGAAGACCTCAAGCTACTGCAAAAAGTGACTGGGGAACTTAATCCTCAATGCATAGTGACCAGTGCAAAACAGGACCAGAATATTGCCAAATTCCTGACCAACCTAACAGCTACTGCTGGTGATAAAGACATTGGAAAACCAGAAATTGTCCTGTTTCCTAATGTAGATTTTGGTCTAGAAGTCAGCAAGCAAAGGATCCTATCTAGGCAATTTCCATTTATCCCATCTCATATGACTGAAACAGAGAAAATTCTCTACTTGTCCTCAGTCATCCCTTTTGAAAGCCCACTCATGATACGAGCCTTAGGGGGCCTCCTTAAGTTTCTAGACAGGAGAAGGGTTGGAGTTGAGCTTGAAGACAGCAGTATAGCAGTTCCTATTTTGGCCTTTAAAAAATTTGTGCTGTCAGATACTGTGAGTATGGACCAAGACACTTACTGTGTCCTGCAGATATTTAAAAGTGATATCCATCCTTCTGTGTACAAGCTGTCCAGTGGACTAAAAGAAGGATTCAGCTTATATGGAATTTTAAACCGCTGCAGATGCAAATGGGGAGAAAAACTTCTGAGGCTGTGGCTCACACGACCTACTCGGAACTTGGCAGAGCTGAACAAACGGCTAGATGTTATCAGCTTCTTCCTGATGGCTCAGAACCATGAAACAGTCCTCACTCTTCAAAACTGCCTCAAGAATATTAAAAATGTGCCTCTTATTCTAAAAAGAATGACTCTTTCCAACACAAAAGTTAGTGACTGGCAAGCACTCTATAAAACAGCATACAATGCGCTGTGCCTTAGAGACACGTGTCGTTCTCTGCCCAACACTATTGAACTTTTTCAGACTATTTCACATGTCTTCACTGATGATCTGCACTACATTGCTAATCTAATCAGCAAAGTGGTAGACTTTGAAGGCAGCCTCTCAGAGAACCGCTTCACTGTTAGACCCAATGTGGACGCCACTATTGATGAGAAGAAACGAAAGCTGATGGGATTGTCAGACTTCCTTACAGAAGTGGCACGAAAAGAACTGGAGACTTTGGATGATCATATTCCTTCCTGTTGTGTGATCTACATTCCTTTGATTGGGTTCCTTCTCTCCATTCCACGGCTACCAGATATGGTGGAAAAGAGTGACTTCGAAATTGAAGGCCTGGACTTCATGTTCTTGTCAAACGATAAACTGCACTACAGAAGTGCTCGGACTAAGGAGCTAGACAGCCTGCTGGGTGACTTGCACTGTGAGATCAGAGACCAGGAAACACTTATCATGCACCAGCTGCAGACAAAGATCTTGGAGAAGTCTGAAGTACTTAACAATGTGATTGAGTACACTGCACACCTAGATGTGCTCCTAGCTTTGGCAGCGATGGCCCGGGAGAACGGCTACTGCCGACCTCACTTTACTCACCGCCACGGCTTCCACATCAAGGATGGAAGACATCCACTCATGGAACTGTGTGCAAAGACTTTCGTGGCCAATCCTGTGAACAGTGGTGAGGCTACCAGACGAATAAAGATCATCACAGGGCCCAACTCATCTGGAAAGAGTGTTTACTTAAAGCAAGTAGGTCTTATAGTATTTATGGCTCTAATTGGCAGTTATGTCCCTGCAGCAGAGGCAGAGATTGGAGTAATTGATGGCATTTACACAAGAATCCACAGTAGGGAATCGGTTTCTGTAGGGCTCTCCACTTTCATGATTGATCTTAACCAGGTTGCAAAGGCCGTAAACAATGCCACAGAGAGGTCCCTGGTACTTATTGATGAGTTTGGTAAAGGGACAAACACACTGGATGGCTTGTCCCTTCTGGCTGCTGTCCTGAGGTACTGGATCAGACAAGGAACACAGTGTCCACAGGTCTTTGTCTCCACTAATTTTCACAGTTTAATGCAGCTAGAACTCCTGCCTGACACACCTCTTCTGGAGTATCTGACCATGGAGACCCACCAGGATGGAGATGAGTTGATATTTTTCTATCAGATCAAAGACGGCGTGTCCACTGTTAGTCATGCTGCCAACATTGCAGCATTAGCAGGAATGCCAGCCAAAATTATTGAAAGAGGAGTGGAAATATCAGAACTGATTCGCAATGGAAAACCTATCAAATGTCTTGATCATCCTTCAAAAGGAGATCGGGTGGAAAAATGCAAGTCTGTTGTAGAAAAGTTTCTTTGCTTAGACCTTGATGATCCCCATGTGGACTTGGAAGAGTTCATGAGGAAGGAGGTGCTACCTTCTGCAGCCTCAGTCCTGTAACGGGTATGTGTAAATGCATAGTTGCATCTTATCCACTATGTTCAGTAGGAAAGTCTGGTAATTTAAAGAATGCTTACTGTGACATAACACCTCACAGTACATTTAGCTTTTAACAAACTGTCTATAGTTAAAGCCTTCCTTCTTCTTGTTGTTTAAAGCAAGTACTTCAATATGGTGTACCATATGAGTGTAGAAAGAGGGAAAGAAGAGAATTTAAGAACCTCTTTCAGCTCTTGGGTCACCCAGTTTGTGCATTTTTTGTCCCTGTTAGAACCACAGATTAAAAAAATATACTGTAGAAAAATCACAACACATTTCTGCTGGTCTTAGAAGACTGTGAAAGCAAAATGCTTATTGTTTTGTATTGTGCTAAAGCCATTTTAGGATCAGCATCAAAGATTCCAAATAAGTATGTGCCTCAGATGCTCGTATCAGCAAGTAAGTGGGTTGCTCCCACTTCTGAGTAGGTAGATAAGTCCTTTAATCTAAGAAGCTGAGAGCGGTACAGTAAACCATATAGCTCTTTTCTAATGAACTTTATTTCACACTTTTATCCTTTATTAATACCTGTTTCCAAGTTTTTTGCATTTACCATTTTTAGCTTAATGCTGTGCCTTCAAAGTGAAAAGCTTATTTCTTGAGATCTTTCCTAGTTCTGAATTCTCAAACTCCTTGTTTTGTAAATATGGTTTTAACTCTGGGGAAGTTAAAATCTTTTCAGAATAAATGCATTTCAAACTGCCTAAAGTTATATTACGGTTTAAAAAAAAGATTTTTTTCCCCCCAAAAGATAAATTTGGTGGAATTTAGATCTCATTGTGAGGAGAGTGACTTAAAAGAATATTGCCTCAAATAAGGAAACTTACATTTAAAAATTAATATAGTTATAAAGCTATAGCTGAGAACTGTACTGATCCACTTTACTACTGTTTGGTCTTTCATATGCTTTCACATGTAATTTTCATTCATTCCCCCTTTCTTGCTTTTCATATTCTTGTATGATCTCAAAATGCAACTAGACATTGTATTAAAACGTACTGCGAAATAATCATTCCTTTTATGTTATGTATTTGTATTTACCACTTTCAGTAAAGGCACGAAACTGTCTAACTAAACACATGTACACAATGAAATAAAAAATTATAGTAAAGATTAATGCTTATGCCTGACACTGAATTGACAGAGAAAAATTTACAGATTTTTAATACACAGTATCTTTCTATACAGTATATCTTTAGAATACCATATGCATTATCCAGCATTATAGAGGGGTAAGGAAGATGATTTGGAATGACATTGACCTGGTTCTGTCAGCAGCAGTGAATATCATAACACAGAAAGTATGCATCCTGGCTAATATTTCATGGAAGGTAGATAAATACAAATGAAACAAAGAACCAGCCAAAAAACAACCAGAAAACAGAATGGCAAAAACCCCACCCTGATTGTTTTAGATGTTTAAACCAAACAGTTAAATTACTGAACAGCTGATATTCTAGAAGAGCTGTGGATTTTTAAAATGAGTGTTTTTTAAAAACTGTTAATACAAGCAAAAGGTAATGTGAGCTCACAAATTTAATATCTATAATATGCCTGCATCCATATCTATAATATCCACCTGCATCCTGTGGATAAGTCCTTATTTGTGTTTTAGAGCAAGTATGTGTGCCCTTGAAATTTCTTATGTATCTGAAATCTCACTGCCTTCTGCCTACTGATTTCAGAATACTACTTAATTAAAATGTGCACCTTCAGCATTTTAGATATTTCTAATTAAATTTTAAAGTATTTTTCTTTAATGCCCAGTATGAAGGAAAAAATCAACTTAAAATATTAATATTATGTAATTTAATTCCAATTTAAAATATTTTTTCTGAAAATTATTTTCCTAGACAATGTTAAAGGATCACATAAAACATTGTATACAAGGTCAACAAAAAAAATTTATGGAGACATACCTTATGTTAGATAATACAATACAGTATTACAGTTAAATTAGTATGCAATAAAAATAGGTCCACTAGTATTGCTTCTATATATTTTTATGACAGTTATAACCTACTTTCATGTATTTCTGTAATTTGTCCAAAAAACCCTAATAAATAGGCAAGAAATAACTGCCTGCAAGAGAGAATATAGAAGGTGGGTTTCCTCGCTGCTCTGAAATTCACCAAAGCATATTCAGTAGAGGGAACTGACAGTCTGCCTATTATGCATAATCCAAATAGGAATTTCACTGTTTACTTGCTTGTTTTCTCCTATACAGAAACAAAACTTTGCAAACAAACAGCATGCGTATACAAACTACATCCTAATTAGAGTTCTGTAATTTTTAACAAGTACTTTTAGCCTTTGGTCTTGCCTAATTTCACAACAGAAAACAGACTGTGATATTAATGTACTAAGAATATCAAGAGTGGTAACTTACAGTACAGGACTAATGTTTATATAGTAGATGCACTACGTTATTTTTATTAAATAAAATAAATATTTTTAAAGTCTTACCTCTTCAGCTGGTTACAAAGTAGAGGGTATGATGCTACAGCATAAGCAGCACCTTTGTGCATCTCCAAATTAAACTTTCTAGATTGCTGCTGATCTACATGAAATGTGAGCTCACCTGCTTACGTAGCTCCATTGATTTTGACAACTTCATGAAGGTCAGATGTGGTTTAAAAGCTCTTTCTTCTCCTGCCAAGATCCCCTTTTCTTGAAATATCTTCTTCATAGTCTCTGAGGGGGGGAGAAGAGTGTAGAGGTACAAAGATATTACCTAATAGAATGCTTAAAAATGTGCTTTCAACTGTAATTTGAGTCACAGTTGCTTCTCATGGGAGAAACAAGATGATGAGTACTAAAGGCAGGAAGATTTCTAATTAACTTCAAAGGTACATATTTTTTCAAAGGTATATATTATTTCATGTGAAAATGATCTTACATTTGCAGTTAATGCAGGTCACAAATTTGGCTTTACTAAAATAAAAGCAATTAGAAAGCTGTCCATTTTTTTGGTCCAAAAGACCTGTCTGTTTTTGCTATCAGAATAAGAATTCAATATTAGCCTTGTTCAAGAATCGCTCTCACTAAAGTTTTGGGAACTTTACAAAAACTCTAAGTATGTGACAGAATTGTCTTTCTTCAGAAACATTATTCTGTATTTGGGTAATCTCCCACTCAGACCAAAGGAAATTTGAAAGTTGAAAGCTCTAAGTGTGGCCCTGGATTTATATGCCAGAATTGGAAAACATATCAGGTATGCTGATGAATTTTAATTTGGGTTTTTAAGCTTCACTGTTGCCTTCTAAACTAATTTCCTATTTTTAATATACACTTTGATCTGTGTACAGTCCAAGCCAAAGCAGCTCTACAACACTGACCTACTTTACTATTTATTTCCCAATTTATCTGCCCAATATAATGTTTAATTTCTTGGAAATAAATTTCAGTATTACTCTTGAATTTTGTTCCATGTTGCCTTTAGCTAAAATACTGCATGTGAAAAATTTCTGTAACAATTTTGAAAACAGGTTTAGATAAAATTGATTAAACCTGTGACAAAAACAATACCGTTAAGTAGAATATTTCTATTACTGAAATCAGAAAAACTGAAAAAAAAATTTTTTTTCTTTGCAAATACAACTTTTAATTTTTCACTTGCTGTAGGTCTAGCTGACTCATACTATCAAACTGAAATTAAAATGGGAAAAAATAATCCTATCACATAAATTTAATCAAAGCTTACCATAACTGTGTATTTTCATTTAAGTGTATTATTTTTGGGCTTGATAGTTCAACAGTGCTTTATTCTCCCACCTGACAGAAACAGCATTACACTGGGAAGTGAACAGCACAGCTGGCTTAAAAAAAAAAATAGGGAAGGTCCAAGGAAGAAGAATATAGGCATATAAAGCTATCTAGCATAAGTCTGCCAGTTCACTCTCCTGTAACATGTTCATTCCAGAGTCCTTACTCCTACAATTTTTTGCTTATTTAAGTGAGCTGCTTTGAAATCACATTTAAGAGGAGATTTTACAAGTTTATGCATTACTTTGCAACATAAAAGTTCTAGAAGAAGCTCAGAGTATTTACTTGGGACCTGGAGATCAAAATTCATTTCTCTTTCTCTGTTGCCTATGATTTATAACCTCAGGCTCCATAGTCTATGCAAAAGTTGGAATTTCTAAAGAAGCAAAGGAAATCAATGAACCGGCCCACTTGAAAGCTTTTTTCAGCCTTCACTTCCCACCTATAAGATGCTGATACATTTTACAAAAAAGAATTAGTCCAACTTCTTATTCTAACTCATAGGATGCTGAAAGGACCACCTGATTAAAACCTTTGTAACTTTTACACAATGGCAATAGGGATCCTATTACTATGGTGAATGCTGAAAATAACACAATGGTTGAGGTGGGAAGGGACTTCCTGAGGTCGTCTGGACCAACCTCCCAGCTAAAGCAGAGCCACCTAGAACAGGCTGTCCAGGACTATGTCTGGATGGGTTTTTATATCTCCAAGGATGGAGACTTCACAACCTCCATGGGCAACCTTTGCCAGTGCTTGGTCACCTTCACAGAGAAAAAATGTTTTGTAATGGTCAGAGCAACCCTCCTCCGTTCCAGTTTTGTGTCCATATTCTCTCTCTCTCTCTCTCTCATCCCATGTATGTATATACAAGCATAACTGCTATATAGATAAATACATCTGGGTATCTAAATCTATACAGCTACATATCTGTAGCTATAGACTAACTATATACCTATAGCTATAGCTATGTATCTATAGACAAGTACAGCCTACCCACTTCTCTTATTTTGAATTTTGTCTGCAGGAAACATTTCTAAATTTATACTGAATCCCCACTAAGCTACTGTGCAGCTGTGCACACAAATGCTGCTGAATAATGATTAACATATCAAAGCAGAAGAATACAAATACCCATTTGCTGCTTTTTCAAAATGAGATATGGAAGTTCAAATAAGTCGATTTAGTTATGGTGTGTGTGTATTTCTATGCATCCAGCAGCCTGCTTATTTTCTGATGTTAGAAAGTTAATAAAATGTTACAGTTATTTAAAACTGAAATTATCTGTAATAAAGCCATTTTCTGGTTCCTGTGTTTGGTTCTGTGAACTGCATCATTTGGGGACCTATTGACTTTGATGTTCCAGCAAAGGGCAAGTCTTATCAAAATCAGGTTTTACACTGCCCTGTGATATTCTGACTCAGTCTTGTGGATAGTCTTTTTTTCCCCTCTAAAAGCTCCAGGTTTTTTCCGCCATCACATCTTATGCCATGCAGTCTTACCTCCCACTCTGCAGTCAGGATCTGTACTGGTGAAGATTTGCACCTCTCTGGGTGCCCTAAGTCCAGTAAGAGCTTAGTATCAGAACAGAGGTTTGCCAATGTGCATCTGATCACGGGACTGTACGCCCGGGGTTCTCAACAGGGCAGATCGACCATACGGCACTGTGGGTGGGTGGGACATTGGGTGGGACAGCTGGGCATCTACACTTTACACTGCTGAACAGCAACCCTGTGGCCTGATCATCTTCCTTTTGGGCTAAATAGCTTTGTTTGATATCTGCTCTATTTATCTTTCCAAATTCCTCTTTCTTTCGTACCTGGCAGTTCTTATCAAGAAAAAAACATAATGAGAAGCCGGGTCAGAGGAGAGAAAACAACTTCAGAGAGAGACTGCAGTTTTAAGTGTAACAGATTTACGTGTGTGTGTGTGTGTGTGTGTGTGTGTCCGTGTCCATACACATTCTCTTGGTCATCAGACTCCTCCCACAGCTTTGCCAGGGCACAGACGTATTAAACATCACAGGCTCAAGACATTGGGCACACTTGCTGGTAGTACAGATAGCCCCAGTTTTTCAGAATTAGACATGTATGGAAAACATGACATTTTACTGGTTAAGGTGACTTACAAACATGATTAGCAAAATCAGAAATCTGAATAGATGCAGGGGAAAAAAGAAACAAAGAGAAGTGTTTTCCTGAGAGCACAGGAAGGTTAAAAGATAATGTAATGTCATTAATATCCACACAGCTCTTTGAAGAAGTGGCTACAAGAAGGGATTAAAAAAAAACTGGGAAGGACACATGGATGCTGTGGGCAAGACAAAGTTCCAGGTTTGTGGGAGAGCACAGAAGTGGATTTGGAGACAAGCAAATACACAAAAGTTAAAGTTTATGATGGGTATTGCCTGAACTGAAACAAATTAGAGGCCATTGACAAGAAACATAGACAGACCATGTCCATGGGTCTTAACAAATGAGGACCTCCCATCTTTTCTCCAGACATTATCATTACTACCTAGACTGAAAAATCAAACAAGATCTGTTTTCCTTTAGTAGCCTCAGGCTGACCAATGTTTGTAGCTTCAAAGTATACCCTAGAAACATTAAAGCTATTTTTACAAGCTCAGTGACTTCCTGGAACAAATTTTTGGACAGCTTTCAGACTATCTTTCATGTACTTTGAAGTACTCTACAATACCATTTTGTACCTTATTTTTAAAATGCCAAAATTACTGAATGTAATCTGTCTCTCTTATACTGGATGCAGCTGAATCCATTAGACAACTCTTTCCCCATAATTAGAATGGAAATTTGACATATGAAGCTTACTCAGAACCACTATATACTGGAAAGGCTCAAAAATTCAACAGCTAGATCAATACAGAATGATTCAGTGAAAAATTGCATATTGAGCCATATTCCATAATAGAAATAGCCATCTTCTATTCCAAGATTTCATTAGATATCGAAAATTGTATGTTTTCTTCCAGACTATTAATTTCTGCTTTCTAAACCATGTTCCTTCAATTAAAAGCCTTAAAAATTAGAAAGAGTATTCTGTCTCTTCATTGAAAATTTTTTCAACTTTACACTTGGAACTGAAGAAAAGCTGAGCACAGATAACTTACAGTGATAACTACCAGTTTAAAGCATATTAAAATTATTAAGTTCTTAGGTTTTTTTAAGAGATGTGCCAAAAGGTAAACCAGAGTCAAGCCAATTTCCCAATAGTTTTTCCACTACTACTTGGTTATATATTAGTTAGGCTTTTCTACAGTGAGCTGTCACTGTACCATAGCACTATCATATATCAGTGAGCTACACTGTTACTTCAAACACACACCAGGAGTATGTGCACTTTGTTCTGTTTCTCTCCATCGCCACACAGGTATATAGAAGAAAGATGTGCTCATTCATTGGATCAGTAAATGCCAAAATCCTCCCCCAAGATTTACTTTCTCCTTGTCTTACAAACAGATCCTCTACTTATTCCTGCTACCCTGACTTCCCTTCTAATAAACCCTTATTCTTGTGTCTGCCCTCCTGGTATCCTGCTGAAAATACCAATATACAGTCAAATCACATTTTTCTTAGCAAACTGAAAAAAATCTTTTTGACTCCTCCCACAGTCTTAATAAAAATCTTAAAATTATGGGTGAAGAGCAGTAGAGTCAAAGGGTGGGAGAGTCACTGCAATCCAGCATGCCAAAGCCAGGCCCCTGTCCCAGCCTACTGCTCTTCCATATCTGCTTTATCCTCTTCTGCTTGGCACATGACACGCAAAAAAGGTGAGCTAAGAGATTTGGCAAGAGCACAGCACTTAATATTCTCATGCAACTGATCAAATGTCAGGCTCCAGAGCAAACTGTATTTACTAATTTACCCACTGGAAGTACAAACTCATAAAACTAACTGGTTTTATACTAAGGAATAGTGAGTGTTCATTTTCACTAAAATGTTTGCTCCTGTTGTTGGCATTTGTCTAGTCATGGGGCCTAAAACAAAGAAAACTGTCATGTAACGCAAAGCTGAATTAGAAAAGGTTGCATGCAGGAAGCAAAAGGCATGAATAATGCTTAGGTCTGTTGGAACCAGTCCTTTAAGTAAGTAAGTGCTATCAGCAGGAAGGTGTTTTGGTTCTTGTAATGAAATCAACAAAAGAATCCTTAGGATTTTTTTCTGCTGTTTATCTTAAACACAGAATACAGCATGTATGTATTTAATGACATAATAATATTCTTGAGACTGCAGAACACTGCCACTTCCAACTTTGGAGCGTGCTTCTCTTCTTGCTGTGGATGAATCAAGTTTCTACACAGCCCAGTAGAGTTCAGCTAAACACATTAGTAGGAACTAAACCAATGGCACATGGACGGGAAGAAAACCTGTCACAGCAGTACATTTTCAATGTAACTGTTAGCAATTTGGACTAGCAGCTTTTTGTTCACTTTGTGCAAATCAATTGTTTTAATGGAAAATTACAATAGCTTTGAGTTCCCAATTTTTTCATCATGTTAAATGACTTAAGAATAACTGACAAAATGCAAAATTCATTTATCTTAGCTTCAGCCATCTATAACTAAAGTGAACTAAATTAACTGAATTAAACTATTTCCCTGGGCTGTCTATAGTCAAGGCAATGTAATTCACCCTAAAATAGATGCTAAATGTGTGGGTTTGTAATCTTTAAAGAAGCTCACGAAGTACTATCCTTGTCAAAATACACCGTTCCTCTCCAGCCCCATGCCTGCCACTGCTCCTATCTTTTGTGCTGACAATCATGTAGCTACACAGTAAACTGCACTGACAAAGTGAACAAGTTAAAAATTAGCTGGCAAAGGTAAAAATGTTAATTTAACCACAGCTGAATTCACCATGTGGCTGCACAATTCCTCAGCACAACAGAAGGGGTTGGATTGCTTTGGTATGGTGGCAGTGTAAGCTTACGCCCAAGTAAAGCTGTAATGTACCTAGAGAAGAAGATGGGCAGTATGACTCGCTTTCCATTTCTCTCTCTATTGTGGACTGTTGGGAAATCAATTTAGTGAGATTAAACTAAATGTCATTCATATAAAACTGAAGTTAAAGGAAATGACTAAGGTCTACTGCGTGCCAGTTTAGTATGGTCCTAACTCTTATTAAAATATTCAAGCCAACAAATCAACATTTCATAAAAACAAAGGACCAAAAGCAAATGAAATATTTATATGTAGCAACAGAAGAGTAACTTTTCTGCTCATGAAATAGAAGCTCCCTCTCATGGTCAGACAATAACATGTATCATTAATCCATAAAATCAAAATCTGCAAATCCTGCAGGTAAAAAACAGGATTCACTTATTCACTTCTATCACCTTCAAATGGCATTTACAATATAATTATCAAAATTAATATTGAAGCCAAACAATTCATTACTTTTTCCAAATTCACTTAGTACTTGTGGTGGTTTTGGCTTGGGTAAAGTTAATCTTCTTCACAGTAGCTAGTATGGGACTGTGTATTCCAGTTACTGCTGAGCAGCACTTGCACAGAGACAAGGCCTTTTCTGCTTCTCACCCCACCCCAGCACAAGGAGCTGGGAGGGGACACAGCCAGGGCAGCTGACCCCAGCTGAACAACAGAATATTCCATACCATATGATGTCATACTCAGCATATTTAGAGCTGGGGGAAGAAGAAGGAAGGGGGGGACGTTCAGAGTAACGGCACTTGTCTTCCCGAGTCCCCATAATGCATGAAGGAGCCCTGCTTTCCTGGAGATGGCTGAACACCTGCCTGTACCTGGGAAGTGGTGAATGAATTCCTTGGTTTATTGCTTGAGTGTGTAGCTTTTGCTTTACCTACTAAACAGTCTTTATCTCAACCCACAAATTTTCTCACTTTTACTATTCAGATTCTCTCCCCCATCCCACCAGAGAAGCATGAGCAAGTGGCTGTGTGGGGCTTAGCTGACAGCTGGAATTAAACCACAACAGTCCTTCAAATATTGTGTAGTGTAGCAAAGCATTAAATTAAGGAAATTAAGAGTTTTTTAAAAAGTCCTGTAAGAGCATATGTCACTGATAGCACAGCATTTCTAAAGAGACTTGGACAAAGAGTGACTAAAATACTCCTCAAATTTCTGTCAGTACACTTTAGCACTATTCCTGGTAGATAATTAAATTATGCTAATGTATTTTAACTCACACTAGCTCTCCTTTTCCTGGACTTTTGTCTCTGGCAAACTTAGATTTACACTGGTATTAGCAGGCATGCTCTTACCACATTCAGATGTTATTACTATTGAACAATTTCCCATATAACTTATGGAAC